AAAAAACCAATAATCAAGATTCAAGATCAGTAATCAAAATTCAGTATTAAAGAATTATTTCCAAAGAATTAAAGTATGCTCAACATTATTAAGTTTTTTGATGATTTGACATGGATTTGCCTAAAGTGCAATTCTCATGCAAAGGAACTTTAGATATCGAGACTTTTTCAAAAACACCTTATGAAAGATTTGCAGGCCTTTTTTGCTCACATGAGCCAATCTTTTGTGTCACTTTAAAATGGCATCAAGTTTAGCACTGGAAGACTCAGCAATGTGATCAACCATTGTACTTGCCTTGATCACATAGATTCTGTTTCTTTAAACACCCTTAAAAATGACAAGAGATCCTTTTATCACTTTTAATAAGACATCCCCAATTTTACCCCATAAACCCATATCATCTGAATTTCTCATTGAAATCAGGTTCATATTCAATTCAAGAACATATCTAACCCTTTCAAGGATATAAATATATCCATGATCAAATTTCAATGTCACATTCCCAACTCCTTCAACTCGTAGGTTATGTTATTCCCGATAACCAACTCTTTTCCATTAATTTTCTTAAAGCCTTCTATCCAGTTTTCTTAGAGGTCATTTGGAAGGTACAATCAGAGTCCAAAATCCACTCTTGGATATGATTTCCTTCATCTGCAACATTTGTAGATTTAAGATTGGGATTAAGTTCAGTCACAACACATACAAATACAATATTAGGTTCTACAATATTTCCTTCATCAACACCTTTTCCTTTTTGCTCATTTTTCTATTTATAGAAATCTTTGATCAAATGTCCAGTCTTACCACACACACAGCATTATTTATTTCTTGTCTTAGATTTAGAGTTGTCCCTACTTTTGAATTTCTTTTTATTATTGTTTTCATAATGACTTTGATTCTTTTGATTACCATTATACCTACTTTGAGACCTTCCCCTAACAAAAAGGTTTTTAGGCTTACCATTACTTTTTTCAGTTTTGAGTTTTGGTTCCTTAATCTTTAGAGTTTATAACTATGTCAAATATAAGGGTGTTCCTACCATATTTTATGGCAGGTTTGACATCCTTATAGGCTTCAGGAATATCATTAAGAAGCACAACAACTTTATATTTCTCGGAAGATTTGTCACCAGTATTGGTTATATCTTGCACCAACTTATTAAAGATGTCAAGATTATCATTCAAGTCCTTAAAGGAGTCTATTCTAAAGATAAATAATCTATCCAATAAAAACAACTTGTTAGACAAAAACTTAACTAAATAGAGCCTTTCTAATTCATCCCATAAGGCCTTAGCAAAATCTTGTTTCCCTACTTTTCTCAAAACTTGATCAGATAGACGCGAAATAGTGGAGGTATAGGCAAGTTCATCAGCTCCATTTTTCTAATCAGCTATCATAGTTTCCAGAAATTCTTGTGTTATTGGTTTAGAAACCTTTTGTTGAACTAAAATACCTTTCTTTTTTTGTTGACAAATAGAGAAATCCCATTTTCCCTCAAAAGTAGTAATTGTCATGTTTTATTATTTAAAGAATAGCACATAGTATTTCTATAAGTTAAAAAACTAGAAGTTGATTAACTTTAGGAAACAGTAGATTTTGATCTTCGCAAAAAATAGGTTTTTAAATCACAGAAAATAAACATTAATAAAGAAATATATCACAATTATTTTCACTTACAAGAATGCACCAAAGATAACACAATGAATGATGTTGCACACAAACACCATCGAATGAAAGAACTAGACAAGAATTAGGCTCAATAATATCTCAAGAACAAATGAAAAAAACTATAGTAGACACCCAAAATGTTCAAATTCACTAGGATTCCATGAAAATCTGGTTCCCGGGTCAATGTTCAATTTGAACACAGGGTGAATTCACAAAATGGGATATCAAGTTACATTACAATGTCCAACCATAACAAGCAATTCTAAAAAATAGCAAATAAGGACACATGCAAGAATATGCAGTTATAGGAGTGTGATATAGAGTTTAAGAATCGCAAACCAGAGTGGTGGTTAGAAATTTAACCACTAGAGAACCAGGTATAAGTGCAATAGAAAGAATAGCATTGTTTGATGTTTCACCAAATTACCAACAAGCATACTTAAGGCCCTGTTTTGGAGGGATTAGATTTTTCTANGGTAGAGATTCTCATTTTCTACAGTAAATCAATTCTCATTTTTAACCACACATTCTTCACTAAAATAATATTTTCCATCACATCAATATTTTTTTCTTCTTTTTCAACCACACATTTCCCATCATTTCACTATTCAAAATCAATTTTTCTCCCAAAAATCTCTCCCAAACAAGCTCTAGAACCCAAAATTTCAAGTTTAGGGTTCCTTGTTCAGATCAAACGCAAGAAGCATGAACACTTTATCAATCAGCAAGATCAAAGTACAGATTTGATAATATAAACTCCAAATCGAAACAAATTCAGATCTAGGGTTCCACGATTTCAAAGCAATCAATGAAAGAACACTGAAAAATTAATTTCCCAAGGTTCAAACTTCGATCGAAGCCCCAAGAACAGCCTTAAGAGACTCTAATACCACTATTATACAAAACAGATCTATAGAAAATAATAAATCAAAGTTCCACTCTAACACTTACTATTTAAACCAATGGACACCAAGATTTCATCGATCGAAAGTTCAGAGATATTGTACCCTTCTGTACCAACACAGAAACCCCATATTTGCCCAATACCCTCACAATCACAAGTAACATGCAGCTACTTCTATGGACTAGAAGAACTCAACGCTACCATCAAAAGGAACACACTCTTTCACCGGATTTCACAAAGAAAACTCACTCTCTAAATAGATTAAAAAGTTACCCGAGCAAGAGGAGCAAATGAAAGAGAAGACAAAATACTCTAGAAAACCCTCGAGAAGATGAAGACCAAATGACAGAATTGATCTAGGGTTTCAACCAAGGAAAGAATATATCGAGATTGAGGCAGCAATTGATCCAACGGTCCATAGTAATTTGCACCTTTAGTAATAAGGTAAAACAACAAAAGTTGCATTTAACAAACACGTTTTCTACCTGGACCTGAATATTGGACTTGAGTTTCATTGGGCCCCCTTAGTTAATGTTATTGGGCAATAAATAGGAACATGGGCTAAGCCCTTTTCATCATAGCCTAAAGTATTGGGTTGGATCTTTTATCACATCCCTAACATCTTCAATTTGTTTGGAGAAGAAAATGGCAATGGAACAGAAGGCCAAGGAAAAGTGAAATGAGAACCAAAAAAAAAAAAGGGCATCAATCCTTCTGTTAAAAATAAATTTTCTACGGATCAATGCAAGAAATCATTTTTAATGATCGAGAATTTTGTCATTGAAAATCATTATTTCATCATTAAATTATTCAATGATAAACATAGTGTTGTCATTGACTTCTTGTTAGAGACTAACGTAGAATATATACAACGACGAAAAAATGTTTGACTTTGAATATATATAAATATTTAATGGTGGATATTTTATCGTTGATTTTTTTCAAGTTTTGTTGTTAATTTGTGTTTGAACAGGCAAATCTGGTTGTTAATAATTTATAAAGTATAGAAAAAAAATTGTTAAAAATTTCATCAACAATGAAGGAATTTCAATTGAACTCCAAAATACCTTTCTTCTCATCAATCGTATTCAAATCGGGTTTTTTCCTACAATTAATGTGTTAAGAAATATATGATTATTTTGTTAACATTATTTATTAAGGGTAGAATAGTCTTTTAAGTTTTCTTTATTTTAGACTATATATAGTCTCTTTGTATCTAGGTTTTATTCATTCAATTACATTATGCAGAATCAATAAAACCCTAGCCTCTTTTTCTTCTTCTCCT